CTCGGCGTTTTTTAAAACGCTGGTTTTAATACTTACCACACCCTGTCATATCCATCGGAAGTGGTGGAAATTTTTGGGAGAATGTAAGTTCTAAGAAAATTGGAAAAGGAATTTGAAAACCATAGCAAGTGTATTTCAAGAAATTTGAACAAATCTCATTGTCATGGAAGATACGCCACACCTAGAAACCAAATACGATGGCTTCTTTCCCTCCACACCAATGTAGGAAAAATTGAACTGAAATGGTTAGTCGGATATGGGTTTGGAAGTGGTTCAATCGGCTTGATCAGTAAATTGGCCGGTTCAACTGGCCTAATCGAGAAAGTCCTGGGCGGTCAGAAAAATGTTAAAAAAAAAAAATTCTAATAAAATATGGATAGCGTATTTATTAGAAACTCATAATACTAGTGAGAACTATCTTTATTAATACGGCTAGTAACAATTAAAGATAAAAACCAACGATTATGAATAATTACTAACTAATCTTATCATAATCAAGAGACACCTAATTAAGGGATATATACCCATATAGAGTCACATCCATACTGATATGTATTTGTATTCATAATGATGTATATCAATATATATCCATACACAACCCCTCAAACTCAAGATGCTTTTACACAAAGCAGCAATAAGTTGCATAAATGAACGAGTTCGATCTTTAAGTCTTCACGTGCAGAGCGTGACCATGCACGACCAATAAAAACAATGCTCTCCATGTTCAGATTGCTTGAACAACAAGCACATAATGACATTTGGAAGAGCCAACAAAACTCAGAGTCAATCCAAGATAGATTCAGCAACTCGCAGCTCGAGACAGATTCAGCAACTCACAATCCATAACACATGCCAGAACAGAGACAAAATGTTGTTTTATAAAGAGTCGAAAAATGACTCGGCAGAGAGTCGAAACACGAATCGGCAGAGAACAGATGAAAGCGAATATGAGGCCTTTGGCAATGCTTCCTTGGTTTATGAGTTTCTCTCACTAAACTGAGAGTGTAGATTGATTTAACCATGGATGAAAAGGAAAGCTGAAGTTTGTGTAAAGAGGAAGTCTTTTTCTTTTGATGAAAAGTCAACATCAGAGAAAGAGATGTATGTAGAAGGAACGGGGAGCCACATGACCTTTATTCTGCCAAGATCACTTTAGAGAATGAAAAACAATATCAAAAAGGGTGCAACTATTTGACAGAGAGTCTGAACGAATCTGAAGCCGAGTTTAGATCCGGCAACCTCAGATTTGAGGTGCGAGCTCATATCTAAGGTTGAGGAGCCTATGGCTTTAATACCATATTGGAAACTCAGGGTACTGCAAAGAACTGTATCTTTATTGATTAATATAAAATATACAAGACCCCATATAAATATAGTGCTGGCAACAATTAAAGATAAATACCAACGGTTATGAATAATTACTAACTAATCTTATCATAATCAAGAGACACCTAATTAAGAGGTATATACCATATAGATATATATCCTTACTCATATGTATTCATATTCATAATGATATATATCAATATAGATATCCACATGCTAACAATATTTAAATCATAATTAAATAAAGCACATCCAAATGAAGTTAAAAATTGATAAAACAAAAAAAAATAGAATTTTAAAGAATCGATTCGTTTCAAGAATTATTTTTGAAAATTTTCAAAAAATATGAGAAAATGTAAAAATAAATATTAATGGCTAAAAGAACTTCCAGTCTTTTACAAAATGATGAAAACCATTAAAAAATACATTACAAACAAAAACCCTTATTTTTTGAGATGTTATATTCTTTAATTTTTTTAAAAATACCCGACTGGTTCACCAAAACCAATCGATACTGAAAATGGCCGGTTCCGATCAAACCGGGCGTTCTAATTTAAACGACACAATTTTTCCTACACGGCTCCACACATACAACTACCTTGGGTCTAAGACTCAACCCAAGCCTAGGTCTGATGCGAGTTACTCATGCGAGTCTAAGTTACTAAATCGAGTATGGCATATTCAAAAAGTCAAAAAGAAAATAAGAAAAAGGAGGAGGGCATGAGAGCTAAGGGAAAGAAAACCCGGGTCACGCCTCTCCCTATTTACCTTGACTCCTTCCGCATTAAAGGCCTTGTTGGCCATCTTACGGTGGAAAGCCCATTTCTTCTCATTGTTAGTGGACGCAAGCCCATCTCCCAAGAGCTTTTCAGTTATTCGATTCATTTCTGGTTTTTGGTAGTCTCCGTTCTTGTTGTTAAGTATCTCCCTTATTAGCTCTGGCTCTCTGATAAATAGCTGAGGTTTTGGGGCCACCCAGCTCAAAAAATTGTCCCCTGTAATCATATAAAGATACCCGAAATCATCAATCATATTTTGGCAAAAATGTAAATGGTTATCCTGTTTGTTTTTTTTTTATTTGATAGATCAGTGGCCTTAACCTGATTTTAAAATAGTTAGTGGATTTCAAATGCGTCAGTGAGAACGAAAATCTAGATCAGTCGATGAGGCTCAGGTGCTACTACCACCACGATCTCAACCCCATTCCCAAAAAAAAAATGGGTTGGTATTTCTTTTATTTGGTTTAATTTTTCTATTCTATCCAATTGTGTGCTTACCATAGATTTTGGTCCAAGTGTATATGTAAGGCTGGGTCCTTGAAAAGGTGTTATGCGAGAGATCCATTGGTTTTGCACTTGCTTCCCTCACCATCTGCTCCACTTCCTTGTTGTTTCCATGGAGAAATTTGTACGGGGGTCCTCTAATTCCCTGCTTCTCCATGAACCTGGTTATCCTAAGAGGAACCCACCATACTTTTACCACAAATTCTATCAATTTCAAAAGCAATAATAACACTAATAATAAGCACAATAACTTAGAAATAAGCATGGCCATCATTATCTTCTCCATGAGCAACATCAATGCTATATCAGAACTATCGCAACTTTGAACTTCAAATTATAAGGAAGATTTTGACTTATAATTTGAGCGGACTTGGATAACTTCAATAAAATCCAGTGATTTTTTGTAGTATGAGCATCCTCAATGTTATATTAGAACTTTGAACTTCAAATTATAAGGAAGATTTTGACTTATAATTTGAGCGGACTTCGATAACTTCAATAAAATCCAGTGATTTTTTTAGTAAGTATAAAATCAAGTATATTATGCTTTCAAGGGAGCTTGTTGTTCATCTACTCCATCAATGAAAGTAGGAGTTTTAGAGTCGGACAAGTCGGACCTACCATTTAATAGTATAACTTGTACAGCCTTGGTTTTGTCCCTTGAAGACTGAGGCTTGGGACCCTACAAGAGCTGCTTAAAAGAGCTTGCTGATATGAATATGAATTTTTTAATTCACCTAAGACCCATATTGGGGATATTTTTTTCCATTTTCAAATTTTGAAATTGTTGCCATGTTAAAGAGGACATTCATGAGCCTAGGAATACTCTTCCTATTCGGCTACGTGATGGAATAAATGGAGGAAATGCTCTTGCGGGAGAATAAAATATTTATAACATTAATTTAGTAAATAAGTGGAAATTATACAAGGAATGGCGTCTTACGGCTTGGAGTTTTGGGAATGGAGTGGGTCGATACTGTCGATCTATTATGTCAGGATGAAAACCATGGGGGAATTTTTTTTTTATATATAAAATTTTTCCCTAAAAATGGCTATATGTTTATTTTCAAATTAAAAAAAAAATGAATTTGGGGTTCTTTAGTAGTTAGATCTAATATTAAAAAAACTGGGGGTTTCTATTCAATCTTGCGGTTGTACTTTATTTTAACCGCATATAGAGTGCAATTGGAATTTTTAGTTTTTGAATTTTTAAAGTCAGTCTATGGCAGTGTTCGCAAAATCGAACCAGAACAGTTAACCAGACAAGGTCCTGAAAGCGGTTTAACCGGCCTAACCGGTCAATCGGCCGATTCAACCGTTCTAACCGAGTAAGTCCAGGGTGGTAAAAAAAGTGTTGAAAAAATAAAAAGAGACAAAAAATACTACAAAAATATGAAAAGAATATAAATAATGATTAAAACCAAATACATTCAAATGAAGTTGAAAATTAATGAAAAATAGATTTTAACGAATTGATTTTTTAATTAAAGTGAATACTAATGACAAAAACAATCTATAATATTTACCATAATGTAAAGAATATTAAAAAATACATTTATAATCTTTACCATAATGTACAGAATAGTAAAAAAATGCATTACAAATCAAATTCTTTATTTTTGAAAATTTATATATATATTCTTAATTTGTTTTAAGTATCAGTCGATTACAAAAACTGCCCAAAATCAAAACCGGCTAGTACCCGGTTTTGATCTAACCGCGCGGTTAGCTGTTAGATCACCCGGTTTTTCTAACAATGGTCTATGGTTTTTAAGATGTCCACAAAATTTGTGAACGTAAAATTATTCCTAAATCAAATTTCCCACGAGGGAGTAAATGGATAATATAGTCTACAATAGGAGTATAAAATCTTGTGGCTTTTGAAATAGAGCCGGCCCTCTTTTTGAAGGCTTCCCCATTTATCTTTCAGTTTCGACACCTGTTTTTGGAAGCCTCTCCATCTACGATTCTGTTACGACATGGTGTAATTTGGGGGAGTCCGATCTCTAAAATGAATTTGGAATTGTTTAATGATATATTTTGTAGTAGAATGCCTCTTCCCCATCGATCGTGCCATATGCATAGAGATGATGACTACTTTTCCTTAATTATCCCACTCCTCGTAACTCAACAAAGTTAGAGAAAAGAAGTGGGGGTGAAAGAGAAAAATGTTGTGCTTGATACCACTTAGTGTGCGGAAGCTTTAAATTGGATGGGTTGATTTTTGATAAATAAAGTACGAGAATTAAAATAAGAAATGCACATCGTGGTTCACCCAAGAGGGCTACATTTGCGGGCAAGGCAAACATATATCACTATACCAATGAAAGTTAACATCAAAGATTTTGAAACAAATCTGGATAAAATATCCAAGTCGATCAAACCTTTTTAAATCACTCTACCTTCATTCTCTTTACTTCTAGCAACCATTACCGATAATACTCGATAGAGACGTGAGAGTAACGAGAAACTGACTTTTTCTTGACTAAAAGGGAAACAACAAAAAATCTCAATGGAAACCACTTATCTATAAGAAACAAATAAACCTCTCAAATTTTTGGGATTTATAAAAGATGCACCATCACAATGTTACTGTCCAATCCCATTTTCATGTTACATATATGGACACGAAGAGGCCTATTTTTTGGGACCTATTTCTCATTTTCATGTTTTCTTTGTGTCCTTCTTGGTTTTTTTTCTTTTTATATGAATTTCTATCTTTATTTGTTAATTTTCATTTTCCCACAATCCCCATGGGTTTTGAGCATCCACCATACTTCTAAGGGTGAAATGTATATAAACTCCATCATAGGTAATTTTTGAAAGATCCTTGAAAACATTGAAATGTTAATGAAAAATGTTTGAATCTAAAGAACGAAAGAGAGTGAGAGCTGCTTTTGCCATATGCGTTATTGAAATTCTTTTTCCTTAGAGAGATGATGGAGAAAATTTGTGCAAAAGTAACCAAAGGTTAACCTTCCCTAGTTAACCTAACCCTATCCTGCAATCCACATTACTTTAGTTTCTACATTTAACCAAAGGTGCCTAACCATAGCCTAACCATCCCATCCTAACCCAACCACCGAACCCCACTTTATCTTGCTCCTCACCCCATCTTTTGATAGGGTTGAAATCTCTTTCTTATAGAGTTGGAGATGTTGGGTGAGTTGAAACTCTAAAGCTTGAGAATTACCTACGTAGGTATTCTTCAAGCATTTTCATACTTCTACATAACTCTTAAAGCCAATAATAAGACGGAGATACTCTAATGATAATATTGAGATCTAGTCTTTAAGAAGCTGGTTAGACTTTAGCTATGATTTATAATTTGGATTTTCGATTTTACTCTTACTATTGAGAGATAAAATCTTTTGACTTGATTTAAAGCAATCACCATTAATGAATCCAAAATGTTCCTTTCTCTTAATGAGAGAAAGTATTTGGGTTTCCCATAACAAGTAATTATTTTATGTCAATTTAATGGACACAAATTTCCTATATTAAAAGTGAAAGGAAAAGGATACTTATTTGATGAAGATGAGCTGTCCATTGTGATAAGAGATATTTGACGTTTAGATGTTTAACGACAAAACTGCTGTGATTTTAGACGAAACTTTTAGAGAGAGAGGAAGAGTCTTTAACTATTAGAATATGGAAGAGAGAAAATTTTAATATGAAGAGAAAAAAAGTGGCGATGGGGTTAAAATTTGAGCAAAAACTGGGCAAAATAAAGCAAAAACGAAAAAAAGCTCAAATTTGTATTTGTATATAAGGAGGAGAGAGTTATTAACCTTTGTTGTTCTTGCAAGGGAGCAGTAGCTTGGAGGTGCTCGGAACAGCCTCAGTGCATCTGTTGGGTGCTAATAGGAGCACTAATAGTGTGGGAGGCTTGGTGACGCGTGAGTTTTAGAGAGGAGAAGCGAGAGAATGGCCTCAATGTGAAGGTTAAGAGGATAAATTTTGCTCTGATACTATAAAGAATTCTAGAGAGAGAAAGGAATTTTTTAAAAGATAATTGTGCCCCACACATTTCGTAGTGGTTCTTTCAATGTATATATAATGACAATACAGTGGTGTAGTATACATCCTCCTATCTTGTTAAATACAATATACACTTTCGTATATTCCACAATGAAAATATACACTATCTTATCCTATTACGTTCTATAATGGTAATATTTTGTTTCTATTAACTACGACCATGACCCAGCCCCTTGACCTTACAATGGCTTTTTACCAAGGTATTGTCTCTCTCCGTTCATTTTGGCATCCAACATTAAAGACATGAAATTATCCTCATTAGCACAAAAGGAGAAAACATCTTAAACTCAAATGTTCCTAAATGCATCCCCTTAGGGACTGACTAATGTGGATTGATGATGATAAGAGCTTCATGTTGTGCCTGTGTAGTGACCCTCGATATGGGATCATGGCGATAAGATGGAGAGAGAAGTAGACTGTAACGTTGGAGTATCATAGAGAGAGCCACTTTAGTCTGAAGAGTAGCAAAGTTGAGGCCTACACACATGCGAAGGCCAAAGCCAAATGGTATGAATGCCATTGGGTTCGTTGTTGCATTCATAGTTCCTTGCGAAAAGCGTTCCAGTTTAAAGAGATGAACATCTTTTCCCCACTGTTGTGGGTCATATTGTATTGCTAAAGTTGGTATCACCACTTCAGTTCCTGATGGGATGATAAGTTTCCCTAACTTCACCTCCTAACTTTCCTCCTTAAGATTGTCGCAGAAGGATACAACCTCTGGGTCTCATTAATGATCATGCTCATCTGTCAATAGTTAAAAAAAAAAGAAAAAAAAGAAAAAGAAAAAAGAATCAAAGAAGGGCTAAAAGTTAAGCCAAAGTCCAAGATCTTAGATATCCAGTCCAAAACTTCTATGAAGTTTGGGCTAAATGAATATTTGTTTAGAAAAAGAAATGAAAACAGTATATATCTACTTAGTCCGATGAAATGAGACATAATCTACAAAGCTTAATCATGGAAAATAAGGATTCATGATAATTCTTTCGTTGTTTCTCTTTCTTCTTCCTCAATTAAAGTAGTGAATGAGTGCCAATATTGGCTAGCATAAAATCCTGAACAAAATAACTCCAATTTCAACAATTTGCTATCATAGTGGTATGGTAATGGGTTTACATGGAAAATTCGATACGCGCCAACTTATGACACGATTTATTAACCGAATTATATTATGAGAATGATATTATATTTCCCCTAGAACACCTAATTTATTGTTCGACAAAAAATAAAAAAATAAAAAAATAAAAAAATAAAAAATAAAAAAATAATCGTTTTTAGAGGTGTGTGGAAGTGTAAAAGGCCATTTTTTGAAACATTATGATTTAGAGGTCGGAGAGCACTCTTAATCCACAAGATCCAATGCACTTTAAAATATATGGTCTATATATCTTCAAGCAAGTTCACTTGCCACATGTTTTGAACTCCAAATCAAATTTTAATCTAAATTATTTTCTAGAGACAATTTTTAGAGTTTTGGATTTTTGCGCTAGAGGTTTTCGAAATCGTAACTCCTCTCCCCACAGAACCCCAAACCAACTAGCTTTTTTGGTGCATGAAACTCTAAAATCGAAATTTGGGTGGAGCACACTATACACTTACTCCTTCAGATATAAGGGCTACTTTGGAATTATTGGAATCCACTGACGAGAAGTTCAAAAGAAAATGGATTTTGAGTTCCTAAATACTAGGATCAGCTACCCAAAATTCCAAAGGGCACAGTCCAATATTTGTACCTTAAATGCGTATGAAATTTGTTCCTGTTTCCAAGCCCGATAACTTTACCAAGACCATGGTTGTATCAAGTTAAGGCCTTTCAAAGGGGCCTTGCCTACATAAGCCGTACAACACAGCAAGCCCCAAATACCGTTTGCTTCTTTTCCAATTTCCATTGACATTATACTTGCATGAAGCATGCGAATAAGTCTTCTCTCTACTTCCCATGCCTAGGATTCCTCCTGAAGAACAGGCCTTCCTATTGTGGTCTTGAATGACAGTGACATCATTGAGTCACAAGTTGTGAAGAATCTAGCCATTATCCCTTCTATGAACATGGCATGGGATTGGAGACCACTAGAGGACTCCTTTACAGAGAGAGGGTAGAGTTCTGCAGAGGGTGATCGAGAAGAGGTTATGGACATGTGCCTTTTAATGTGCTCCTAAATGTTGTCCATGTTGACAAGGGGATAGAGGTGCAAGTCTGATTGGGATTGGAGAAGCTAGGGAAATTAATAAATCGGATTATTGTGACATGGAGGTTGGTCTTGATGAACCCCTTTCTAAGGTGCTTGCTGCAATATGTGAGAACATTAGAAAGGCAAGGATGCAGATGAGAAGTGTGTTCAGAAGAAGAAAAGGCCTGTGTATGGCTATCACCTATGTCTTTGGTGTCCTTAGTCATAAGATATTTGGATCTGAGCTTGTCATAAACTGGGGGGGTAGAAATTGTTGGTCAGCTTGACATTTGCTTTATTGCTAAAGATTGGGAGGTTGATTTGGAAGGCCGTTATAGTTGTGATTCTTCGGTGGATTTAGAGGGAGAGGAATAGGAAGGTTTTTGACGGGGCAGTCATCTAATGCAATAATGCAACAACACTTCTAAAAAACCATGTTTGTTGCAATTGTAACACCCAAGATTTTGCACACACACTCTCTTAATCTTAATAATCAATTAAAAAAAAAGTTCAATTTGAACCTTAGATATGGTCAAAATGAGTTAGTGATGTAGACCATTCATTTAGTGATTTTTTAGATCTTAGCCTTTAGAAACTCAAAATCATTTTTTTTTCCTTTCTTTAATATATTTTATGGAATGATAATAAAGTCATCTAAAAAAATTGGAAAAGAAAAAATCCGTCTGAGGCCTAGATCTAAGCATCTTATCAAAATGGATGGTCTAGGTTGATTGGGCTAAAAAAAATACTTTCTAGGTTGCATTTTCAAATTTTTATGTTTTGTGATAGTTCATTAGAATGAAAAGAGTGTATATTTTAAAATTTGCATCAAACAAATGGGTCTAACATGGTTTTTGAATATTATTGCATTATATTACTATACAACCGTTGAACGAAATCAGTACCCAGTTGACGGTGTCGTTATGGATGTTGAGGAAATCAAAGACAAGATTTTTGGAGCGTTGTTCGAGCACTAAGATAAAAAAGGAGTGTTTTGGCCTTCTTAGGTATGAAGTTAGATATAATTTTTACGAGTTGATTAAACTGGATGTTTCAAGGAATGTCATTGCTGCTTAGGCTCTTGCGTATCTAAATGTAATCAAGCCAAATTTTGATGGGAGTTCTTTGGGTGCCAGGTATAGTTGGTATTGTCATAAATCATGAAAGAGTTAATAGTTATTGAGGCAGAGTAGTTAGCGTTAAATTTTTTTGTGGAAGGTGATTCTTTGAATGTTAATCAAATTGTGCAAGATTGAACAGTCAAGAATTGGAATTTACGGTATCAAGGATTTCATATTTCAGAAATTTGCAGTACAGTGGATGTCTCCTTTATGCCAGGAGGCAACTAAGGAGGCAAATTTATTGGCAAAACAAGGGTCTATAGCTTCTTGTTTATCTATTCGTAGAGTACTATGCCTAAGTTGTAATGGTTTTCTGATTCAAATAAAACACCATTTTTCAAAAAGTTAAGAGATAAATAAGTAAATAAATACGTATATAAAAAAGAATGCTAGGAACATACTAATTTGAGTCCGCTGGTGCCATCCATGGTCGGTATACTTGAGCTGAAGACTTCAGTTACCTCTTTCCTCGCCTTATCTTGCCACTCTAGGTGCATGGCTAAGAGAATAATTATCCAAGTGATTAGGCCATACGTGGTCTCATGACCAGCAGAATAGAGGGTCTTGCATTCATCCAAGATGTCTTGCAGTGATAGCTTAGAATCTTCTTCAGTATCATGACCAGATTTTAACAACATTTCAAAGAAATCATGCCCAAATCCCATTGACTCTCCATTCTTTGCTTTCTCTTCTCTTGCCTCAATCATTTTCATAATCAGTCCCTTTTCATTTTTGTCCAATATTTTTGCTTCAACTTCGTCACTAAATCGAAAAAATCTGCATTAAAAAAACAAGAAAAGGAAAATGTAAAAATGAATACTTAAGACTCTCTCTCTCTCTCTCTC